AAATGAACATAGCCATAGAATAAAAAACAAAATGTGAGGCCTACCAGTTTCTAATTATATAGGTGATTTTATACCACTTTAGTTTTGTATCTAGCACATTAGAACCATTATATTAATTTACAGGGTTTTGGTTTCAGGTGGCACATTTAGAGCGAACAGGGCATTACTTAACTGTGAAAGATAACCAGGTGGTTCAGTTGCATCCCTCTACTGTCCTTGACCACAAGCCTGAATGGGTGCTTTATAATGAGTTTGTGCTAACAACGAAGAATTACATCCGGACGTGTACAGATATCAAGCCAGAGTGGTAAGCGTGCCTTTTGTTCTCTTAAGTTTCTCTTAGTATTTTATTCAGAACAGAATGTGGCTCTGCTGCTGAGTCATGGCCTTTCTCCTCACTGATTGCGGAACTCTATTTTCTGCTCAGGTAGGGATTTATGTTCCAGCGTGTAGGTCTGGGCAGTTGGCCTGAGGATGGTAGGGCTTTCCTTGGATAAGAGAACAGTGGATTTGTTAGTGTGTGCTGGATTTGGAGCCAAATACTGAGTTGCAGTTGAATAGCATCAAGAGTTTCTTGGGAGCCGTCCTCTTGTTGTGTGTCCCCTGGTGCTAGCAGTCAGTCTATCTTTACATATTTTATTTGTCCCATTACAATAGCTTTCACCTATTTATTATTTATGTATTGGTTTTAGGACCTGTGCAAGCATAAGATGCACAGCTCTTTGTATTTTAGCATATTAATTAGATTTTACAAAATGTAATCAGAACTGACTGTTTTATTTTAAGCAAAACAACCCCTGCTCCTTTGGAGTTGTTTTTTGTTTTATTTATTTTTGCCAGTATTCATTTTATAACTTACAATAGAAAATGTCAACCAAGAGCAGTGGGATTGAAGGCACTATTTAGGTGGTGTCACTTGTATACACATTGTGTGGCTTTTTCCCTATACTGATTTGTGACTTTTGACACTTAAATTGTATAGGACATTACCATTTTATCTAAAATGCTTTGTTGAGAAAAAATTGTATGGTAAACTTTATGAAAGATTTCAGTCAAGTGTATTTTGGGGGATATAGAGTTACATTTACAGCTGTTAAAACTTTGAAAATGAGAAGATCCAATCATTTGAATGTCAAGATGCTTTGTATGCAGAGACTGTTATTACCATAACCTTGGAGAGGCAGGCTAAAACTCTAGAGTGAAGAGTGCTAGAATGAAGAAGTCAGTGAACTTAAGTGTTGTCATCTTTATATTAATGGAAAGAAAAGGTTTTTAAAAGAATGTATGTTGGTATTTTTTGAAAAGTTTATGTTCAACATCAGAAAATTGACATCTTAGTAAATATTTAATATTTCTAAAAGCGGTATCTATAAGGATTAGGGATTTGTATTTTTGTCATTTAGATTTGAAGATTTGCCTTAGTTCATCAAGTGTATTGATAAGTGGTGTCTATCCTCTTAGCACCACCTATGCGTTAATTAAATGTTAATTTGGTGATTTTTCCCCTTCTTCTGGACAGGTTGGTGAAAATTGCCCCTCAATATTATGACATGAGCAATTTCCCACAGTGTGAAGCAAAGAGACAGTTGGACCGCATCATTGCCAAACTTCAATCCAAGGAATATTCACAGTACTGAATTCAATGCTTAGAACTGAAGTTATTCAGAGGACAGCTTTAAAAGATGAATGAACTCAAAAGTTCAAGTTGTGCTCTTCACGTTGGTTCAATAATGGCCTTTATTTGAAAGCTTTTTAATTTTTCTTTACAGTAAATATTCCATTCTGATTTCATAAATTAAACATTTATGCCTCCCTTTTGTGTTGACACTGTAGCTCATACTGGAAAAGTCGATCAATGTTTTGCAGTTTATTGAAAGTAGTTCTATATATAACAATGTTATAAGCATTTCTTTAGAAATGGTTGAAAATGCTTCTAAAATGTGATTATCGACCATGGTATGCATGATCGTTGTAATTGTTGACATTCCTTTTAGAAGTTGTGAAATGTTACAACTTGTGCTTATGTAGACACAATCTTCTGTCTCAGTACAGAGGCACTGACTTCAATAAAGTCTATTTATACTAATTTTGGCCAAAGCCCATTGGTATTTTTGTCCTGGTCTCTAACTATAGCTTTTTCTCTTTGCAAGTGTGGGGCTTTTTCCTTTTTTTTTTT